AGACTGGGTGTCTCACTACTCACTGCTGCTGGATTCATGATAATTGGACTAATATTCACTATAATAATATTTCTTATGGATTCCTTAAAAGAAAAATCAACAACAAAGCTATCAAAGCCTGAGCCAGTACAAATTTTAAATCTTTTAAAACAATTCTCACTTCAATTCTGGTTGATTATAGGCATCAATGCAACTTATTTCCCTGTCATGTATTAATTCTTTTGTTGGGATCGGACAGGATTTCTTTATACAAAAGTATGGCCTTTCAATGAAAATGGCCAACATAGCCAATAGCCTTTTGTTTGGCAGTGCAATCATACTCATACCAATAACTGGAGTTTTCATTAGTAAAACTGGGTTCCACTTGTATTGGTTATTAACAGGTCTTGTTACAACTGCTTTACCACCATTGCTCATTTTCATGTTCAGTAATGGAGAGAGCTACATTCCATTCATAGCAGCAGTATTCTATTCTCTTTCATATACTCTTTGTGGACCATCATTCGTAGCTGTGACTCCTGTTATAATAGACAAGGGATACTTAGCAACAGCATACGGACTTCAGAAGAGTTCGTTTAATGCTACCTACGCATTAGTAACATACATTACTGGTCTGATAATTGATACTCTTGGTTACTTTGTCTTGCAAGGTTTCTTCATTCATATTGTTATTCTGTGCATTGATTTTACATTGATCATGGTGTTTCTTGATGCTGCCTCTGATAATCCAAAACTTAATGTACCAGCATTGTGGCTATGTCACATCAAAGACAGAAAATAATTCAGTTCTGGCTACCGAGCATCATGCATACAGTGTTCATAAAAATTCTATTGTTTTTAACAAGTTCATTTCAATACTGGTTTATGTAGACCTTTAAGATATTGTACATGCACTTTTAATCTTTGTTTCCAATATCAATTAGTATAGAATTAAAAAGTATATTGTTGAGTAGTAAAAAGAAATAGCTAATATCCATAGCGTCAGGGCTATGTAATGTAATGTAGACTGAGCATTGTTAAAAATAATTATGTCTAGTCATGATAATGTGGTTAGTTGTCCATTACAGTATATATGGTATACTATACTCTGATACTGCTATTGTTGCCAGTATTATTGCTACTATCCTTTATAGTATACTATTGCTACTCTATTGGCACTGCATTATTCCAGTCCATGACCAGCCCCACAGTGTATACATGAAGAGAAGTCGACAAAAGAATTTAAAAGTGATGATCATGTAGTGTTCACAGACAAATCAAAAGGCATAAAACAATTATTGTCATTTATTTTTTGCTATCCGTGTTGATTAATATGCTCTTCACTCCGGTATTGTATTCCTTTGTTAGCATTGCTCAGAAATTTTTGTGCAAAATTATGGTCTTTCTGCAAAAATTGCTAATGGGCTATTGTTTGGCTCACACCAATAGTCTTGTGCCCAGCCCCATGATGGGGTACAAGACTGTTACACCAATCATAGATAATAGAGTAAATATTATTTACTAATTTTTAAAGGACAAAATAATTTAGTACTGGCTAGTGCTACCAAACATCATACAACGTTCTTAAGAATTCTATTGATTCATGCAGTGGTTTCATTTTTAAAGTAGACCTTAGTAGA